GCGCCTGGGTGGCGCAGTCGGTTAGGCGTCCGACTTCAGCCAGGTCACGATCTCGCGGTCGTCCGTGAGTTCGAGCCACACGTCAGGCTCTGGGTTGATGGCTTGGAGCCTGGAGCCTGTTTCCGATTCTGTGTCTCCCTCTCTCTCTGCCCCTCCCCCGTTCATGCTCTGTCTCTCTCTGTCCCAAAAATAAATAAACGTTGAAAAAAAATTAAAAAAAATCAATGTTAAAAAATTATTTTAGAAGAAAGGGGGCTTGGAAGGTAGGGAACCGGCCCCCTCAGGACAGTCTGGTCTCAGAAAGCACGGCGATGTTTTACGGGGCGCTCGTCGAGTTGTCCCTGTGACTGCCACCTCCCATCGTGGGGGCTGTGTGGGTGGAGGCTGGAGCAGAGAAGCGCGGGCCCCGGGTTTCTGAGCCCCTGCGCTGCCGTTCGCTCCTAGGGGCAGACGACACATCGTGCAGCAGATGGAAAAGAACCGGGAGGAGCGGTCGCTGTTGGCGGAGCAGCGGGAGCAGGAGAAGGAGCAGGTGCTGGCGTCCATGCAGCAGCTCCAAGAGGAAGATCTGCGGGTAACGCGCCCGACCGAGCGCCGCTCCCAGCGGCTCCGGCGCCAAGGCGCTCGAGATCCGGGGGACTGGGGCGTGCACTGCTTTTCTGTGAGGCACCTGCGCATTTCACATCGCCGCCCTTAGCTCGTCGCGGCCGCACTGAACACGCGTTTGGCCGTGGCGCCGCGCTGGGGGGCGGGGGTGGGCAGGGATTTGGACTCGTGGCCTCCCGCCCCCCTCCCCGGGTCGTGGGGTCCGACACCAACGCGTCTGCGTGAGTGGACGCAGAAAGGAAATACATAGCTGTCTGCCTCGCACACGCAAGCCCCTAGGGATGTTTTCTAGCCCTCTTGCCATTATCCGGGGACACGATGCGCCGGGCAGGTGGACCGCGGGGTCCACGGCCCAGGCTCCCCGCGGTTCCCTCATTCAAAGCGCAGGGCACCCCAGTGTGATTGTGTGCCAAGAGCCAAGCCTTCCCCCTGCCGCCCC